GGGAAGCTTGCTTTTTAAAATAAACTGACGACTCTGTATCAGCATAGGCGTTTTCCATCAAAACGAAGGAATGAACGAATCGCACAGGGATTAATTATAAAGTTTAAAATAAGAAACAAAAACGTAAGCGTCAAACTGACTGGTGAAAATACTGTAGACCTATTTAACGTTTTCAAAAAAGAACAACGTTTTTCATATCCCTCTCAAAACACTGTCTAAAAAGCACGACCTGGTGAGACAACAGTAAGAATCGTTGCAGAATTTACACTGAGTTGAAATTAAACTGACATTCCAACTCTACCAATTCCTTCTTTACCAGCTTCATTGAATCTGGAAGTGAAACTACACTTTCGGAGAAAAAAAAGTTAGTGATAGCTTAAAATCTATAGACTTCGATAGCTGGTAGGAGTCAGCAAGTTGCAGTACATTTCCAATGAAGCAGCGCATCTTAAACAATTTGTTAATGCAGTGTTTGCCAAATAAATGATTTGCGATGGTCATGTGACAAGAATGGCAAACAGCAGATGGATAAGACGAATTATTGAATGAAAGCAAGAAAGCATAGGTAAGACAAAGCCAGCATGTAGAAAATCGTTTATGATATGCAATTATTTGTTTGAAAGGATCAATTGCCAGCTGCATCGCTGCAAGAAAGAATAAAGCGCAACGGTAAAACAAAAGCTGATGAACTTATTAAGCTTGTGCTGGTGAATTTTAACATATTTCTGTGTTACAACATTGCAAGGCGAATACTCCAAATGGAAGATGGATACAAAAACTGTACTCATAGCACAAACCGCAGAATATAACCAATCATGCCTCTAAGCATGTAACGAATACTGCCTGCAGCTAGCAATCCTCGTATACAATTGAAAGGTTTGGACTGATGTCGTATAATGAAAATCCCAGCATTTCTGAAATGTTTCTGAAATCCTAGCAAACTCGAAGTTATTTTAGAACATGCGAATGAATTTATCAACAAAAACACTGATACAAGACAAAATGGAAACAAGAAAGCAGCAACTTAAAAGATCCGAAGAAACAGTTAATTTTTTAGAAAAAAGATATACGAAGAATACGAAGACCGCTGAGCAAGCTACATGGGAATCTCATGCTAGTGATATCACGCACCTATGACAGGGCCGTTCGATTCAAGACAACAGACTTTCAGTTTTAACTCGCCATCGTCACCTATTCGAATGGTCATTTACTTTTTTGCGAGCACTAATCTAATAGGCTGCATTAACCAGTTATAATGCAAATAAAATTTTCTGCTCGTCGGATTTTTTTCCTAGTGGAGGAATGCCAAGAATGCAGTGGACGCAATTAATTATTCCTTAGAATGTTTCTTCTCCAGTATCAGCTTTGTTTTAAGCAGTTCTATGAAAGAGGAAGCCGTTGACAGTCCAGCCAGTGAATGGTCGCTGCTGTCATTTGCTACTTCTCGAGAGCTTCCGCCTCTCATTGGGGGCAGTTGCGGAAAGAGTTCCTATTAATACCTTTCTTCAACAACTTATCAAGTGTGTTGCAATCAAAAATTTTTTGAATATTGCTCTTTCTGAAGCAAAAAACCCCTGTGATGCCGAATTTTCTAGTAATATCTGTGGACCAAGAAACACTAAAAGTTTTAAATGCAGTCAGTAAAAATATGATATTTCAAAAAAATGCCTCAGATGTAAAAAATTCATTTTCAACGAAACTTTTGAAAAGACTGCTATTTTTTCAAAAAATAATGGTATTTAAGCTTTTTTTCAAAACACTTTCTTTCATTTCTCTGACACAAAATTGTTTTGTAGCCCTTAGCATTTCTTCATCAATCGCTGTGAAAAATTCCTCGATTTCGTTTAAAAAAATTGGAAATTCGAATTTTTCATCACCACGAAATCTTGAAAAATCGCTTACAAATAGCTGGTGGACTGTATAGCGCGAAAATGCTTTCTTTTGGATTTCTGAAAAAAGCACAATTTTTTGATTTCACAGGTCTGGGGTGAAAAATTTGGTTTGACTACTCCTCACCTGCTAAATACCTTTGTCTGGTTGAGCAGTTTGGGGCACGAGGTTCGCGATCATCAGTATTCTAAACGGGACTCGTAATTGAGGCAACTTGCGACATTATCACGCTTCTTTTTTTGGCTTAATTACCTGCTAGAAGAAAATTTGAGCTTTAAACGTCACTGCGCACCATCCCTCTTTTTTTCCACTGCTCTGTTTGTCTAAAATGAGGATCGGAGGCAATATCTCGTATCGGACATCTACATCAATTTTCAGGATGATTTTGAAAGCCGTAGTAGTAGCAAAAGTCTATTTCTTCTTTATTTTAGCCAAATGCAGCTCGGACTTCTCCTTTTCATTCTCGAGGCAACAATTACAGCAGCTTTCGGGAAACACGGCCCACATTTCGGCTCAGGTAAGCACATTCAGTTGGTTCTAGTTTTTCGCAATTACCAATTTTTACAGTTGAAGAAAAGAGCGGCGACCCTCTTTGTTCAGGAAACACGTGCCTTTCATTTTCACTCCAAAAAACAGTGGAAGGTGCCTTAAAACAATTACCAAATTTTTCGTTTCTTAGGAATTTTTCATTTCATGCTTGTTTTGATCAGTGCTGCAGCCTTCTGACGATCCTGACGTTTCTTTTGCTTCAAGTAGCTAGAGTAAAGCAAGTATTCTGTAACTGCTCAGATGAGCGATTGAGGACTTCTGATGTTTTAGATATGCAGTTTCATACAACTTCAACACAATCAAGTTTTTTCGACTTCTCTCTTCAGTTGTTTCCACGGGGTACAATCAGCACCTCGCTGGAAGTTTTTGGAAATCTCGTCATTAGAGCTTCAAATACTGATAGATTGGCCGGAGGATTTCATTTACTCACTAGCATTGTAATCCTGAAAAAGAGGGACGTGAAATCACAAATAAAATGAAAACTGAAAAAATCTATAAATTCCTAAAAAGCTGTGTTAAATACTTTAATTATTCGCCATATAATATTTAAGTGAGATATTTTATACATTATGATAAAAACCAAGCATATCAAAAATGAATGAATCAGCTCTAATTCACGGTGCGGTTCTTCAACTGTGTAGCTGGTAACTTTTCCAGTTGCTTTGACCAGTGCTTAATCAAATGATGGCCAGCTTACGTGCGATGCTGATACCATTTAATTGTTGAAAGGATTACTAGCTCAGGTTTTCTTGAAAAAACAATTGACAAAGCTTTAGCCATTCGAAATGTTTTTGTTAATTATCACTACTTTGTCCGAGACGCTGTCACTCTCTGAAATCCCTTGCCAACTAGGAAGAAAATAGAATATAACTGCTAAAATTGATAGTCAATTCCAATTTACGTGCAAATAAAGTGATTTTAACACTCACAACAATTTTTTGTGCATTTTTTGCTCAAAACTGCTCTATTTTTCAGTGCGTAAATGCAAGAAATGTGGATTGCCGCTAGGTAATGTGATTTTTTCCTTTCATATTTTCTTAAAAATGCTTACCTCGCTTCTTTATTACATAGTACATGACATTTGGGAAGAAATCCTTATGGTCAGTTGTCGACAAAATCGCCAAGATATCATGAGAAATACAGTAAAAAGAGTAGTAAAAATTAAGCCGTTCAAAACAGAAAAAGTGGGAATCAAAAGGTGGAAAATATGTTCAGAAACGAAACAAAAAGCGAAAGGAAAAGGCGAGGAGTCTTGTCTTTTTGAGAAAGGAAGCAGCGAAACTCTTACCTCAGGACATAGTATTTTTCCCACTTCTCTAATTTCAGCTAGCATGCGTTCGTTTCGGTACAACTAACACGTACTCATTTCTTTACCTCATTTCACATTTTACATCTTACTACTTATACGGAGGTACTGGGCATTTTCAAGAGTCAATTTTAAAGCGTATCAATTTAAGACTTAGATCACTCTAGGTGTTGTAATCTTGGCAACGCGTACCAGACTAGCCGGTGCGACCATGTGTTTTGTGCAGTTCCGTGATTGTTTATTAATGGTTTTCACTGCTTTGTATTTTAGTCTATGCAAATATAATTGAAACGTTGAAAAATAGTTAAAAATTTCACGCGGCGACGTATTAAATCAGTATTTGAAATCTTGAAGGGCGAATATCTTTCCGTGACTCCTGGGCAAGGGGTCATTATCCTAAAACTTCAGCTTTGTAAACTTTGTGGTTCTCGAGATAATAATTTACCCGCGAAAAATTTGCACGGGGCCGTAAATGATACCCGAGAACGCGGGTAACGTTGGATTTGAAATTGAAAGATTGTTTGTGGGCAGGGGGTCACAACCCTAAAATTTCAGCTTCTTAGACCCCGTGGTTCCGAGATAATAATTTATCCGTCAAAAATTTTCAGGGGTCGTACATGTTACTCGTGGGCAGGGAAAAGCTGAATTTAAATTTTCTGGGCGGCACATGGGCGGGGAGCATGCCCAAAAAAATTTCAGCCTTTTAGCTCACGTGGTTCCCGTGATAATAGTTTTACCCGTTAAAATATTTACGCAGCCATACTTGTTACCCACGGGTACGGGAAGGTCAAATTCAAATTTGCCGCGTCACCCGCTGGCTGGGAACACTATACTAAAATTTCAGCCGCCTAGCTTTTATGGTTCCCGAGCTGAAAGTGAGGGACAAAATGTGGAAAACACACACACAGACAATCCTGTGACAATATGCGTTTTGTACTGCTGTTATACAGCCCAAAACGTATAAAAATGAGAAACTTGGTAAAGAAGAATTCCTTACATAGTATGCATGAGTGCTCTGTGGCGTGCGTCAAGTCGAACATACCTGCAACACGGTCGACTTGTGATAGTGTTCGACATGGCAAATTTTGGTGTGGGAGTTCAACACTAGTATTATATAATGCCAAAATTTCGCTTGTTTCTCATTTCCCCTGAATAAATAACACTAATAAAAATCCCCTAGCTTTGGCAACATTTCTTTGACATTTTTAACCAATTTCTTACGCCTTCCGTTTTTAGTGTCCCGTTATTTCCAGGAATGACGATAGCTGAGTGGCCAATAAAACATGGCCGAACGCCATTCTTTCCGCTTCGCCCAATGCATCACCGGCCTGTCAGCCGAGATTCCGACGAAACAGCTAGTGAATCTTTAGAAGATGAAGGTGAAGGTTGTGTTTTTTTAAACCTCATTTTTCTCCTCATCTTAACAAAAATCCGGCTCATCTTTCACCTCCTACAAACTGTGGAAGAATTAGGCTATACCTCTGTAGCTTGAATCGCATCCAACCGTATTTTTAGCAAATCTTCGAATATTTCCTTTTTCAAGAATTAAGTGAAATGCACTTTCATAACGCTTGGATCCCTAAATTCTGGTGGAAAGCTAGAAACTGAGGGTTTATTTTTTCAATGTTTCACAGGTGTTTTTGACGGTATTCCGTAGTTGTTTTCTGTTTTGTCCACAGGCTTACAACTCATTTTGGAATATCCACATCTGAAACACGTCTATTAAATGGGAGGGCTTTTAAAATAAAACAGGCTTTATGAAAGCCAGGAGAAATCAAATTTGGGTACATAATCGGTCAGCCAGACTACTGCCGCCTAACAGCAATAATACACAGATGCTATCATTACTAATCATATCATTTTTGTAACACAAGGAGGACTCGAGTCTCAAGGCGAAGTATTTGTATATAAAAAGTGGGAGTTCTGAGCAGCTAAGGAGGACGGGACTGGTCATTTTTATTTCTTACCCAAGACTGTAACTTATTCCTTTTTTTTTAACAATTTGAAAAGAAAGTACGGGCACTAATAATTTTGCTTCTCGCTTTCCACTATCACCCACATTTTTTCAGACTGGATACCGTTTGGTCGACGGGATGACCTGGAAAAGTCACGATTACCTATGTATCGTCCACCACGACCCCCACCACCCCCGCCGCCGTTCTACTATCCACCAAGAACACCACCACCTCCACCACCACCACCACCATATCTACCACCTTCGCCGTACTATTTTCCGCCGAGACCGTCACCATTTATGCCCCCACCTTTGCAGGAACCACCTCGCCGCCCACCACCACGAAGAGTGCTTGATGACCAGGACACAGGCCTAGCGCCTCCAACGTTCGGTTCTGGATCATCGTGTTGCGGTCCGAAAACAACACCAGTGTCATCAGCCTTACCTCCATTAGCACCAATCACCCCGTTATCATCAGTGGCTCCAATAGCCCCATTATCACTAGCACCAGCACAGCCTGCTCCCCTGACCGTTCCCCTATTCAGTGCTGCAGCCCCTCCTCCTGCACAACCACTTTTCGGTACCGCACCACTGCAACCGGCTCCCATGACCGTTCCTCTCTTCAGTGCTGCACCTCCCCCTGTACAACCACTTTTCGGTACCGCGCCAATGCTTGCTCCCTCCGTTCAACAACCAGCATTTGGAGCTCCAGTGTTTTCTGCCGCCGCACCTACGGCAACTAATTTTGAAGAAACCGTTGAAAGGGGAACGCTTCAGGTTTTTCTTTTATTTAATATGGGTCGCCAGTGAGCGGTACTCGTAAAATAAATGGCAACGCGCACCAGACTAGCCGGTGCGATCATGCATTTTGTGCAATTCAGCCCATC